ATATCCCAATTTTTTTCAGAACGAATTACATTTGTCGATGATTCACTGGGATTTCCGATAGGGTGTGTCGAACGAGGATGACTGAGACAACGACCACAGGTACCAACAATATACTTAGTGAATTGAACGGAAACCAATCAAGGAGGGAGTGAGAGAGGGTCACGTACCAATTCGCTGGTCAGCTCTCTCACAAGCAGCTGCTTCTCGGCCGATGAGGTTCGCTCGTGCAGGAGGATCAAAGTTGCCTGAGAGAGCATAATGGCCACTGTCATCTCGTGTGCCTGGGCCAATAAAGCACTGGAATCGAGAACGAGAGTGGAAGGGGTAGAGAGTATAGTAAAACAAGGAATACACGGCTATGTATGGATGCGGGTGTGAGGTGGATAAAGAAAGCACTAGTAACGGTAAAATAAAAACAGGGTGATGGGCGAAGAAATAAGAGAGTGAACTCAAGTTCAGACGAGAAACGAAGCAGAACAGACCATGAGAATAAACGGAGATTTCATTCTGCAAGAAACCTAGGTAATCCCATAACCCATGGAATAATTTGTACACATGTGGAACGAGATGCCATTCAACCAAACTACCAATCGTTATCATGATTCTACTCGTAACATGACATTTGCCGCCAAGTAAGGGATCGGTTTGTGGAGAGAATGAAAATTACCTTGACCCGAATGATGGAAATAAGAACTGAGAATCAGCGGGATATTGCACAGTGAGTTACAAATTCGTGGGTATGAATAATACACAAGTGATTCTCTCGCCTCCGATCTCTTTACTCATGTTCGCCTAGGATTCTACTAATCATGTGTGTTTCAGTGCTTCGAAAACTTCTCTCCGTTTCGAACATGCCCCGTATTCTCCCCAATTGATTTTTGATTTGTTTCCCTTTCGTTTCACATATTTTACATCTCTCTCTTGAGTTTATCCGTAAATTCTTCTCTCTGTTGATCCTCAATCTCCACAATTGCCTCTCGCGTTGCGCACAACGACTGCGCTAACCACCGCCGGATTAGTTTAGTTCCGATCATCACAAAAGTGTTGACTTCAATGATACTTCGCCATCTGACACCCTCAAAGGGAGGGGAAAACCGGTGAACGGGAAACAGGATTCCAACTAGGTCGCGGTCGCATCGACCAAATCTTCACCCTGAGTCAAATCCCCGAATTGCGTCACACATATTGTCGATCAACAACCGCAGTGCACTTTGACCAGAAAGAAGACTTCGATTCAGTTGAACCTATTTCATCATTGTTATTCAAATTTGTCGTGGACCAAATACTAGAGAACGCACTGAGTGGTTTCTAAAATTTAGATATTGAATAGGTAGCTGGAGAAAAGCCGTGCAATTTAGAGTACGCTGATGACATCTTCTGTCTGTTCAAACGTGTGGAGCATGCACAAAGCGCTTTTGACTGAACAGTAAGTTCCGTAACTCCTTTCGGCATACGTTTTGCATCTTCAAAAAGCAAAGTGCTGCTACAAGACTGAGTGTCGTCTACCCCAGCGCTGATGCTTGATGGTCAAGAATTAACTATAGTGGAATGTTTCACTTAGTAAGGTGGCTACGTTACAAAGCATAGTCAGTGAAGTAACCGGCCATAGTTCCAAGGTACGAGCAACTTACGCAGGATTGAAACACCTTTGGTGCAGACGCGACGTTTTGTTGAAATTGGAAGGTCATCTATACTGCACCAGTGTGCGGTCAGTCCTAATTTATGGATGCGAGACCCTAAACTGGGCATGGAAAACATTCGTCGTCTAGAATTCTTCGACTGCCGATGTTTACGCAGTTTGGCGCGGGTTGGATGGAGCGAGAGTGTAAGCAACTCAGAGGTGAGGCGTCGCGTAGCTGGTAATGATTCGATGGAGAATTCGCTGTCCCATCGAATGCAGATTAGTCGGCTTCGCTGGTTAGGACACCTAATGTGCATGCCCGGTCATCGTCTACCGCACCGCGCCTTGTTCGCAGTTGCCGCTTCGGGTTGGAAGAAACCGCGTTGGAAGTCACCAGATGACGTGGAAACGCGGCATACAGAAATGTAGAGACCGATTAGGTAGAATTGGTGTCTCCCGTCTTCTAGGTTGGGGTCCGAAAGAGTCTGCAACTGGCCGGCTGGAGACACTGAAGAATATGGCGACTAAACGACAGCAGTGGCGCTCTTGTTGTCATTTCTTATCAGGTCGGAATGCTTGAAAAGGTATGTATGCACACTTCGATTGTGTGACCTGTGTGTTGACCATAGAGGTTCACTTTCTTTGCCTCCCTCCAATTAGGACCAAACCAGATACAGCTAATGCTAATTCATATAGTTTTGCTCGCTCTCCATATCTGACAGACCACACAGTGATTAGTAGAACTCTGTCGAATATCTCTGTGTAACCATAAATAGAAATCTTCATTGGTCAACCTACATCCACAACTGCATTAGTAAACTGAGGAGCCTATCTTTTCAAATTCGAATGCTCAGACAGTTTCGCGTATCCTAGTCAATTATTTCTACCTTTGTTGTTACATTATTGTTCCCCAGTTATTTTTCCTGGTTTACTGAAACAGCAGTTCAAAGTCTTACGCCGCGGTGCAACTATTATTAGCCGCGTCTGTTCTGTTCATTTAAATAAGTTAGCTGTAAAGCTTTCACAGTATCATATAACTTCCTGTGTGAAATTTGCGGAGAGGATTCCAGCAGATCCTGACCACTTATTGCATATAGAACTGACAAGTTGTCGTTCCCATCATTCTATACGCTCCCAATTCCGCCAAATTGCATCTCGAATTAAGGCTTATCGAAATTCACCTATACCGTATCTTGCTCGTTTACTCACAAACCAAAACAGAGGGTAATGAATGAACTTTGTCTTAACCTTGAATTATGAAATATCCCCATGTTTGTAAAACTTTTCTCCCCGGTGATTATATACTTTGTGACGGTTGGCGTATACGATTTTTTAACTGGAATATGAACTTCAGTGCTGGCAAAAGTTATACACAATACAATTGAGCCAATGGCTGTCATTCTGTAAGCACTTTTCCACTATATGATATGTAAGAGCATGACTAGGAACATCCGAAAACAGTTGTTCGCTCACCGACTCAGTTTCTCAATGCTATTTACGGAAACAGTTAAACAGTACAATCACTCGATTTGTGTACATTGTGAGTTTGGTAGCGATTAGTGAAGTTTGTTTCACTGTATCTCGCTGTACAATGATGCACAAAACCAGTTTTCTATTCCGCGTTTCTTTACACCGAAAGCACCTTCTTCTTCTATACGAAGCTCAAATCAGCCGGATGCTCGAATACTGCAATCACGTATGGGGCGGAGCTTCGTATTCCGCTCTTTCTCTCGTCCAGCTTGTTCGACGTAAGGTCGTCCGGTTGATCGACGAACCGTCTTTCCGATTGCCGGTCAGTTGTTTCATTATCTCTCTTCTATCGTTAATAATTTGGTTTCTGCTCTTCTGAACTTGCTGCAGTGGATTCTCTCACCTTGACCTATTCTCGTTCACCTCGTTCTCAGGCGGATAATAACTCTTATCATCTTTCTTTCTGTCCCCAAATATCTAACTTCCATCTTCCAATGTGTGTTTCTCTCTCTCTCTCCAGAACTGTGCAATTCAGGGCCACTCTTATCGCAACCTTCTCACAACACTTACTCTTTTCAAAGGCAGAACTAACCAATGCATGGTGCCCATGCACAACTTCCTCCTTTTCGTATACCATTGATCTGTGGGGTTTACCCGTTTTACTGAAAACTCTGTTTGTGTATAATAAAAAAAGAACGAATTCCCAGGTTGCAGGAATTCATGGTGCAAGTCAACAGATCACATGGCAAGGAGGAAGGCAGAAATGCACAAACAATATTAGGGAGAATGGACATTTTCTGTCTTCCAGTTTGGGGTCCACAAGATTATGTAACTAGTCGGTTGGAGGCACTGTATATTGTCACCTTGGCAGCGATCGGTGAATTGCGCTGTACGTTGACAATGACAAGAGAATGACTTTACCAACATAACAAAATTCTGAATCTGGGGACCACACATGCAGAACGCAAGACCAGAACTAGTTTCAGCTTTTGTTAGGAATCGTTAACTGTGCACAATCAACGCGCCAGTTCGTGGCGCCCTAAATCCGAAAAGCATAGCTATGAGTCTCGTATAGTGCCTCTTGGGATAATCGGGTTAGCGCTCCATCGGATGTCAACGTCACATGATGAAACACCCCATCGTGTATGCCATTGGAAACGTAATCTTATAATCATTGACAAATGGGAAAAGTAATAGAGTATCCAGCTTGGATCAGCTCAATCGATGGTTCAGAGGCATCAGGCACACTTGATGGGAATATACTTATCTATTTGAAAACACAAAAAGTACCCGGTGAAGGGGCTGTTGGGAACAAGGTGATGCGTGTTCTTTTCAATTCGGACACGAATGATCTAAAGCTCATTATGCAGTTTCGGCATCTGAACTTCTTTAGAATCATCCGCAGTGTGCAAATCCGCCGAATATAGGAGGTGATGATTAGTCGGAAGCGTTAACCACCTGGGCTATTCGGCTCACAACACATAAACACGGCACGATATCGAATTGTTCCGTCCCCGTTGTTGAAAGCATCGAACCTTCTCACGTGGTAACCTTTGGCCTAGCTTAACTGTTCATACCACATGGACACCAAACCACAGTAAACAGTCGATAAGTTTGAAAATATTGCAAAGGATACTACATTAAGCATGTGAATGCGTTTGTGTGTATCTGTGTAGAACTAAATACCGAAATGGGTAGATGTAAAAGCTGGAAGCGACAATATTGAAGACGACGACTCACCTCAATTCGCAAACCGATTTTGTGGCAGGTGAATCAGTCCGAATGTAGCGAGACACCTGAAATTCAACAACGCTGAATATTAGAATCCCGCATGAACAATACAACGGTAAGCTTGGTGAAGTGTATGGTTGAACAGTATGTGAGTGAAAAACTGCTTCAAGTTCCACCTATAACGGTGAGTTTGATCATGTCAATGAAATGGGGGAATGGAATTACCGTCTTTCCGTGCGCCCGTGTGCTGTTTGTGTGTACCCCAATCGTCACGGTTTTTGCGAGTGAGACGCAATATTTGTCGATCTCAACGTGTCGGTTGAAGGAATTGACCCGGTGTAGAGCTTCGAGGATGAATCGCTCTCGCGTTTCCTTAGCTCGGGTCATTAGCTTTGCGGTATCGATCACAAATTCGTGACCTGTCTGTGCGCAGTGGTTCTAGATTTGTGACCTCGGGTCAGCGCGTCCCAGGGCAAGCGAATGCATTATTGTTCATCTATCTCATCTATATGGTGTTGGCTACAGCCTATGCAGGGGATCGCGTAGATCATAACTGATCGTTTGTGCTGTTCGACCCGATCCTTGCCATTGAAAAGAAAAGATTGCAAAGTTACTACTTTTTTTGTAAGCTACCTTGATTCCCAACGGTCGGAGTATGCGTTCGACGGCATCTGACGAGCAGAGTATAAACGGTAGCGTTACGCTAATTTCCTTCTTTGAGTGTATTGATTGTATTCTAATGCACGCGTGTATGAAACTGCTGGGGTATGTATTAGGTAAGATTAATTAAAACGGTCGACTTCTCTTGCGCGTAGGTTCAATGTGCTTCAGTGTGTGTTCGCTCGATGAATTAGGGTTCGCACACAACTTTTCAGGGGATGGTTGCTGCCGTATTTGACGAAGCAATCTGTTGTGGTCAGTTCGCGATAGACTAATATCCCTATTCTTCCGTCTGGTTGTCTCATGAGGAACGAAAGTTTGTTCGTCCTTCTCTTCCTCCCCAGTGAAATTGATTCTAGGTACCCGGGTGGCTAATGATTTGGTGGAACTGGTCTACCGCGTAAGCTATATATTTATCGGGTCTACTAGCAGATGCGGTGATTAAAACAATTCGAAATCAAAGCATTTGAAGAATTCCGTCTCCCTCGTTGGATCCGAAAGCAAAACGACACTTTTGTGACGTGACCAGAAGCCCGGAATTAAACTACTCCATGATCTTCCAAATAAGTTTAGTGAGAAACGAATGGTGTACAGGAAGCCCACAACGACGGATCAGAGACTGAGCTACAATAACCATCTTCCCAAGTGTCACCGGAGAAGCTGTGTGCGCAATTTGTTCCACCGTGTCTATGCACACACACACATTGCAGCACAAAATAACTCCGGTATGAAGAACAAATATATTTGTTTCATCAGTATCATACACACACACACGTGCATCTCAAAAGTTTGTTTGTTTGTTTTTTTTAGGGGAAAAGAAAATCAGTAGAAAGATAGAAGAAAACGAAATTCCTACTACTATTCATTCACACATGAGGAATTAGAAGCCGTAGATTCCACTCGTTGTCCTTTTGGGGGGTCATTACTGCCCATAAACCAACTACGCTAAGATCGATTTTTTTTTCAATAGCAAGGACCACGTAGAACCATACGACCAATCAGGGATGATGTATGCAACTCCGTTTCTAGACTGTTAAGAAACGTTATGTTGGTGATACAGACAAACAACTGCGTACTGGCCTACACGAACATACACTTACATTACACTTGCATGTGCTGAGCCGAAGTCACACTTTTGGAATCTCTGCGCAATGACAGGTCGTGAGGTCAGAATCGACGACAGGAGTAGTGGTGGTAAGAACAACGACGAAGGGGAACGTCGTGTGAGTTTAGCGGTGCTCCGTTCATTCAACCAACTCATTCAATCGGCATGTCGAAATCGATAAGCATTACGCAATCATTGTACAATCCATGAGGAACGAGGGATTGATGAACTAACAAGTGAACGACAAATCAAAGCGAGAGCCACAAACAGACCCAATTAATTCACACACTACTGCCTGAAAACGAGTCCTAGTTGGTTTGGAGTCAGGGTATTTAGCTAACTGTCCTAGGTGAACTACAAATAGTTCACTGACCCGGTTATCATCCCCAGATTTTGTTGGCCTTTTGTTCACTCATTTTGGTTTGAAACCACCACATGGAGCCAATGATTATGATTGCCTCGGCAGAAATTATTTGAGGCGTTCGGTCGTATGGGAGCATCTCCCATGTGCAAGGATGGATAGATGGATGATCAATCCCAACCGGGAACATTCCCGTCTCCGATCGTACTAAGGCTTTCGGAGTCCCACCTTCTGATAATGAGACAAGGAGGATAGAGTTTGTGAAACCGAGTTCGAACAGTTTAGATCTGACAGAAGATTGATGGAAAAGGTGTTTTCAAAGCAAACCAACAGGGCGGAGTTTGCTGACGAAAACATGCACTGCACAAGTTGGACAAGTGTCTACCGAAATTTGTAATCAATCAATCTGCCTGTTCGTGTTTCTTGTTTTTTTTCCATCCCTCATGTCTCGTCCAGTTAATTCACCTCTTGCTATTCATCATGGAAGTTTTTTTGGTAGGGTTGAGTCGTGAGTTTGGTGGCGATCGGATCACTACACGCTAATTGCACACGATAACTTTGACTCCCTGTAGCGAGCACCGGAGCGTGGTAAGGGGCAAGTTTCACGTTCACCAGTCCACCAGAGCGCATCAGGGAAACTGGTGATGACGTGATCCAGACGTCAGTACAGGTTGAAAACTGTTGCCAGAATTATCATTCGCATGATGTCAGATGGAATCCCTGAGCAACCGGCCGAACAGGATGCGCGTGATCGTTTACACGCAATATGACCGCCAGAAGTAGGTGTGTATGTGTGCGTGCATGTATGTATGCGATTGAATGATGAAATGGAGCAAAGTGAGAGGTTGCGTGCAGTTGTTCACTGATCAAATTGACTGCTTTATCCTCTCTGCTCTTAGCCAATTGTGTAGACATATCATGTTTTGCAACACATTACTACTGGAATGACATTGGGAAAATGCGCACGGTCAAAATCCACCGAGTTGAAGGGAACTGTGTGATAGGAGAGTACGAAAGGCCGACTGGTAATGTGGGAAAAGGAGTGACAAAACGCATTCACAAACCAATGTGCAACAGAAGGAGTCATTTCCAGAAGAGAGATAAACGAACCTTAAGGAACAAGTAGCTCAACGAATGTGCCAAAGTGATGAGGACACCGAACGTCAATTGAGGCGAATTGTCTTCCAAGCTTGGGGTGCTGAACACCAATTGCACGGATGGTCGGAGCTCTTCCAACTCCTCAGCCTGTACACAGAAGACAGGGAATGAGTGTGTGTGTGTGTGGGGGGGGGGACAGAAACACAACGTGGAAGGTGGTGAGAGAGGATAGAAGGGAATGAATGTAAAATACATACAAATTGCTTAATGAAAGCAACTAATCAATTGTTTTGAGGCACATTGTGGACTACAGNACTACAGTGAACCGAATTCCAACGATTGTTTCCGAGCTATTTTGAGACGGAGGGTGGGGGTGGCGGACTGATCGTCTTCGTCGTCATACAGCCGAATACAGGGAAGTGAACTTCACTGATCGCTGCCAAACTCGCAATTCATATGCATGGCAATGACGCAACCAACCTAAAGCACTGATGATGTCACTTCGGTTGGTGATGAAACTTTTACAAGCAAATTGACAAGCTCGGCGAAGAGGCGCAATGGAACTCAGTTCACCCGAGTGATGAGAACCACGTTTGAATATTTTGTCAACACACCATTTTCAGTACTTTGGTCTGATGAGCATTGACAACAAGAACGTCATTGAAGTAGGTTCTCTGTCATGTCCTTCAGTGATTCCAACATGCGGATATGGACATCGAAGATTACTTGTAAAATGCACGCTAGCATTGCATCAATCGAAAGCCCAGTCGCGACTGAATGTTAGTTGCAAACTGTGTCACGCTCTTATGGACTGTCGAAAAATCCAAGACAAGCATCGGACCTGGATCGCTGACCAGCTATTCTCCGACGACATTGCTATTTCTAGAGAAGATCCGGACAGTTTACAGTCGGTAATTGACAGCATCGAATGTGGTATCAAGATGGTAAGTCTGCAGATCAACACCTCAGAAACGAAATTCCTGATGTGGTCTATTTCTTTTACAATTAAAAACAAATGTGACAAACAGAACGGGAGCTTATTCACATATTGAACAAAAGTTTGGTAATAGTGGGGAGGGAGGGAGGATAACCCACGTAAGACGGACAACAATGAAGCTGTTGACCGTTCGCAGTGAAACTTTACAATAAAAAAATATGCGTTTGGGAGACTGATCCACCAGGAGGAAAGCTGAGATGCGATAGAGTTAGGAAACCGTGTGCAGGACAATAAACTTACCCGAATCTATCCTAAATGAACCACAATCAGAGCTAGACACTCAGTGAAAACCTTCAAAACCGGAGGGAATTAAACATTNAAACATTCAACCCCCAACCCCCCGATACTCACCATAAAAAGAGACATTCGACCAAGCAAAGGAATCTGGGTTCCCAGTACACACAAGCACATAATCAGATGTCGTGTGAGGCAGGTCAATTCACTCTCGCCAGAACACCGATTCGCATCGCCCAGATCCGGCTCGGGAGCGAACTGCGTGGTCAGTGCCGGCTGAGGACTGTTCACATCCGGAACGCAGCCTCGAACCGATACTGCTGTTGTGCTACTTGTGCTCGGTGTTTGCGAACGTCTTGGTGAGGCTACCGACCCAGACGTGGCCCGAGTGAGCATGGCCGGGGTCTTTGTGGGAGTCCCAGGAGTGTTGAGTGCAGTTGTTAGGGGAGTTCCACTGTTGCTACCTCCACCAACACCACCGCCACTGTTCCCGACCGCAGCAGTCATGGTAGCCGATATAAGATCCAGTCGCAGCCCGAATCGTTGAAGTAGCACTGAACAGCAATGTAACTGCCACTCGGTCAATTCCCACACAGAGATACTGAATTGTGAACTTGTATTCGGGCCATAGGTGGAAAAATACTAGGGTCGAAAACAATAAAGAACGAGAAATGTTTTTTTTTTAGTACGGGGGAGAGGAGTATGGTTGTGAAAAAGTGAATGGTACCGGGGACAAACAGTTAATGAATAGCAAAAGAAATGAAAGGACAGTAGTCCTTGTGTTTGCATCGTGTGCCATCTACCGCATTTGTTACAGGGAGCAGTCTTGGAAAACCAACTGGACAGTTGAAGATGCGATAAAAAAAAAGAGCAAACAGACTGTTATTACTGCAAACAACGTACTGTGCCCATATCACATAAAGAGAGAGAGGCATCAGAGTTTGCAAACAAACGAGTTTGGGTACAGACGAATTGAACTAAAGTGGGCGTGTGCGCGCGCCGCATTTACAAAATAGAAATTTACCCGCGACCTATATGTGGTGGTTGACCTGCAGCACAATCGAACTCAAACAGCACCGAGAATCTGTATCGAGAAAAAGTCTGTTTTTAACCCCCCCCCTCCGCCGCCCACTTTTTTCGTCCACACACGTCTGATTTCAGACTCTGTGCCAAACAAAACGTAGTACAATAATCTTTTTAAAAATAAAAATGTTCCATGATTAGCTTGTGAACGCAATACTGCCAGGTTGCCCAGGCCAAACCAGGTGGGTTTTCTTGACTAATCCACAATCGGAGCGTTCGGATAGCCAAAGCCTAACTCGCAAGGCAGCGGGGCGGTGTGAAAACTGCAATCCATTGGGGGCTGGTTTCCAGTTCATCGGATCATACAACCTTTGGATGGGGTCAAACGTCTAAAGTGTTCAACACACCTCGATGCCCAATCGAGCTGGTAACCACTGTTACAAACACAAAGGTGTTTGCGTGTGGTTCGTAAACCTCTTCTTGGTTGGTTTGGAATCAGGACTCATAGCCAACTTCGGCCGTGGGAACTACCAGTGGTCCACCAACCCGGCTGCAGCCCCGGAGTTCAGCTTTTCATCCTCTCATTTTAGTGGGAAAATACCTTC